CCTTCTTCTTTTTCTTCTTCCCCTCCTCCTCCTTCTCCTCCTTCTTCTCTTTTTCCTCATTTTCCTCCTTGTCTTCCTCCCTACTACTTTTCCTCCTGCTACTGCTGCTCCTCTTCCTTCTTCTTCTTCATTTGGAGCTAGGTATTGAACCTCGAGCTTTACATGTGCTCAGCCAGCACTCTTCTATTGAGTTATATCCTCAGCCTTACTGCGTGTTTTAATAACAAGCCAGTTTATAAGCTGGACTGGACTCACTGAGAGGAGAGCAGAACATGGATTCACTTTCTCCATCATTCCATATCCAATTTTCGCACTCACTCTCACTCTCCTGTTTAATTTGGGTTTATCTCACAGTTTCACATTCAACTTCAAATATTAAAATAATCTCATTTTCAGCTATTAAAAAGCCCCATCCTCCCAAATCAGAACATTAACCTTTCATCCAGTTTCAAGCACTTTTCTTTCCCACAAATATAAACATACACAAATGATTAAGTATCTTCACCTGGCAGACAAGAAAGGCAAACCTCTAAAAACATTTTTGGTAAACTGTAAAAGGACTTCAATGCCACCAAAGGGTTATGAGCACTCTCTGAGTAAATCTTCTACATTCTGGTATTAAGAGCACTCAAAAAAATGCTGCCTCTTCACCTCATTGCTTTAAGACAAAGCTACCTGCTTGCAAGCCCTTGTCACCCACGAGTCTCCAGTCAGCTTCTATTTTTCTATTATTTCATCTTAAACAGTAGAAAAAGACAAGGATCTGCAGAAATTTGAAGGAAGCCTGCAATATAAAGAAAGATCAATTCATAAACAAGTTTTCATAAATCAGACATACATGTAAATATCACACTTTCTCTGGTGTGAGAAACCAAAAGGGTAAACAAGGTCCAAAATGTATAATAAATATTGGGAAATAGGAAGAAAATGTTCAGTGAGGAAAGGGAACAAAGGAGAGGGAAGGAGAAGAGGAAGGAAAAGAAAGAAAAAAGAATAGGAGGAAAAAATGAAACAAAGCTTTTGTAAACAGGGGGAGAAGAGTTGAAGGGAGGCAAAGGGATGGAGGAAAAAAGAAGAACCAAGATCTATCATGTACAAGTACAAATTCCCGAGGGTGAATGTGATTGTTATGTATAGCTAAAATATACCAATAAACTTAATTTTACAAAATAAATAAACAAGGACCCAACCAGAAAAGAAAACTACAGACCAATCTCCCTAATTAACATCAATGCAAAAATCCTTAATAAGATACTGACAAACAGAATGCAGCAAGTCATCAAGAAGATTATATACCATGACCAAGTGGGACTCATCCCAGAGATGCAGGGATGGTTCAACGTATACAGGTCAATAAATGTAACGCACCACATTTACAGATGCAAGGACAAAAACCATATTATCATCTCAATAGATGCAGAAAAGGCATTTGACAGCGTTATATTAGGGCTGAGGATATAGCTTAATAGAATAGTGCTGGCTTAGCATGTGTAAGGCCCTGGGTTCAATCGTTAGCTCCACAAATGAAGAAGGAGGAGGAGAAGCAGGAGGATGACTTTGACTTCAAAGCCAGCCTGAACTACATAGTGAGACCCTGTCTCAAAACAAACAAACCAACAAAAAGGAAAAGTAAGGAGTTATCGCCAATTTAAATTTTATCATGAACACATATTCATGATAAAAATCCTACATACAATTGGAATAGATGATCTTTATCTCCATCTGATAAAAGCCATCTATGACAGTCCAACATCCAACATCATAATAAATGGTCAAAAACTGAAAGCTTTCACTGTAAAATCAGGGACAAGACAATGATGTCTACTATCACTACTCCTGTTCAATATGCAATGGTCTCTTATCTATCGTGAGAGTTGTGTTCCAGAGACCCCCGTGATAGATGAAAATCCACAAAGTAGTGGCATTATATTTATTTTATTATTTATATATATTTTAAGGCTTTATGAACCCTTCCCACACTCCTATAAACCTTTCCCACACTCTTAGAAACACTTCATATGCTCTTAAACACTTTCTACACTCTCAAACCTGCATAATTTTAACAACATGTAATATTCTATATGGGTACTCACCAGGGAAGTATACTACAACTTGAATGATGAAGATCATGAATTATGTATCTGTGCAGTACTGATGGCGATGTGAAATGGACAAGGAGAGATACTGAACATATGGGCACAGTGTGGGAGAGCAAACAGACCAATGTTATGGTCACTGAGCCAATCAGCAACCACAATACAGAACACAGTGCTATGGTTGGTCCCTTTCCATTCCATCAGCCAGTACTGTGCCGTGTACAATCTCACGTTGGCAAACTTGCACAAGCAGTAGTGTCATACTGCAATTCCATTGTGGACACTACGGTATTCATCTGCTGATGAAATACGTACTGGATTTTATTTTGATTTAATATTCTTTTCACATGTTTGAATT